GGCGCTCCTGAGGTGCGGTGGCACCCGCTTGGTGCTCGCCGGGAAACGATGCCGTTGTAAAGGCGGCGGTCGTTTCGGCGTGCCCAGTTTGCTTCTTAGTGGGGTGAGGGCCTGAAGGAGGAAGCTCCTGTCTTTTGCGGTGTTCTGTGGTTTGTAACGAAGCTATCAGTAATTCTTTCAGGTGCTTTTCTTAAGTGTTTTTTATTTCATGTGATATGAGAATGTGGGATCTTTGTTGTTCCTGGAGGGCTAATAAATTTAAGGCCTCTTAATTTGCTCTCTTTCAAAGACCTCTTTCTGTCTGCCATATGTCATAAAAAGATGAAAGGACGTAGACCAATTTTTTCCCTTTGTAGGCTACTTTTAGGATGGCTTATTCATAAATCGTAAAGCCACATAAAACAGTGATGCCTTCACAGGATATTGTCATGGCCAGTAGATGACGAGTACTTTCCATGAGTGCTATTTTAGAGATGCTTTTCTTCATCCATCCCCTCTCCTGCTCTCTTGTCTCATTCATATGCTTGTTTGTTTGTTGGTTGTTAAAGTGACAAGTACAGAGTATTTAAAGTATTTCTTTAGTATTTATTATTTAAAGTATTTTTTCAGTCTTCAGAAGTATCCTATTAATAATGGTGTGATGAAACTCGGTGTGTGTGGTGTATCTCCCATCGTACATTGTAGGATGCTAGTCCCAAAAACTTTGATTGTAGGAAGTGGAAATAAGCAGAATGTTAAAAGTTGATTTGTGCAAATTGAGTTGTGGGTCAAACATTTGAAACATTTAATTGAAACAGTGAAAACCTGAAACATACTAGCATGTAGTTATACCATCATTACGGAAGGTATACTTGATGCGTTTGTGGAAACTTTGCCTACTCACAATCTGCAAAGGAAAAATAAGAAAGAACAGTATGGCCTAAGGGCACCTGATGCACGCTTGACTTGTGTGCGTATGCTAGGCAGAATGAGATATGCACAGAGCTGTCAAACTGCAGGTTTTGTTTTTTAAAATGCAGGGGCTAGTGCTATTTAGCCTGTTTTCCATGTCTTTCATATTTACAAAGATTCAAAGCAACGCATCACCTTTCATAGTTTTCTACTGTCCGTAATATAAATACCTCTTATATAAATTAGGTCTAGCAGTGATGGAAATTGCTCTTGCTCGTGCAATGTTTGTGCTGTATTTTTGCTGTGTAGTTTGCTGGGTAGCTTTTGGGGAGAATGATGTGTAACACAAGATGACGTGAAACGGTATCTGTTTTCTGTTTTGTAGGTGACTCAGCAGATGCAATTCCAGAGCATAACGAATTCCTTTTTCCAGAATATGAAATTTTGATAGAACCTGAGGAACCAGAATTTCCTGCTGACAGCAGTGTAGGTCCTGATGATGAAGAAGGAGCTGTAGATACATCAAAGGACCCGACAGAACAAGAGGAACTCGGAGCTACCGGCAGTGCAGGTAAGAAATAAGATGCTGTTTGTAATTCTTCCTAATGAAGCCTGCGTTACATCTTTTAAATATAAAATGCTGTGATTTTTAAGTGCTTGTTTTAAACTACTGGTGACAGAAGGCTAAATCTGCAGTCATTTGTGCTTTAAGTTTTTTGTACACATCCCAAAATATAAATTGCTTTTAGGGGAGAGACTTATTAAGCTCCAACCCCAGGAGCTGTTGAAGCAGGTATTGCTGCAGTGAGGCTAGGGGTTACACTGTGTCTGTGTGTGCTCCCTGTAGGTAAGGAACAACTCCAGTGAGAAAAATGGAATCCTCAGCACCTGCTGCTGGATGCTGGTGGCATTGGGAGATTGAGTTAGATCGTCCTGGCTCAACTTTGTTCAATTTGTCTTAATTTACGGAAAATATGTAACAAATCTCCTGTTCATGCTAGAAGAAAATGATTCTGAGGCTATTTTAATTGATCTTGAATTAAGCAGTTGAAGTGCAGGTGATGTCCTCGTTCCCCCCCCTCCCCAAATTCACAATGTGTTTGCAGCTCACCATACCAGCTTTGCACACACCCAGGGTAGACAGCTTGTGGTGTGACAGGGGAAGGCTGCTGGCTTCCCAGCTGTGCCTTACTGTGGTCTAAAACCATCTCAGGACTGCTCAGTGCCCCACATTGATGTGAATGTGGGAGTGCAACAGATGCACTCTTCAGTGATAGAAACTGAAGTCTGGCCATGCACGGCAC